CATATATAACTATCATGAGACAATGATGAAAAGAATAGTGGGTTGTGACATGCAAGAAAGTTTTTTTTTATTTATTTAACGAATGAATAAAAGAAAAGGTTAAAGAATAATACTTACCAGAGTCTGTTAATGTGTGTGAGTTATTTGTATGAACGAGATTCTCAAAGCATGCAAGAAAAGAAAAGAAGAAAGAGTGAAACTTATATGAAGGTAACTGATGAGAAAGAGAAATCGAGACAACACTTGTGGGTTGGTATTTGTTCAAAGACACAATGTGGCAAGACGAAGTGAAAGAAATGGACTCAAAACTCTACTCTTTTTTCTTTTTATTTTCGTCTCGGCAGAGACAATCGCATTTTTCTCTATATATATATATATATTTTTTCTGTCTTTTACAAGTTTTAAATTTCCTGGAAAGAGATTCTAGCTTAAAGGTTATTATGATTTTCCTCGAATTTGAGAAAAACAATAGTCCATTTACTGGTGTGGTTGCATATGTACAATTGTACATTACTAGCCATTTTAAATCTGTTGACGGAAATACCATTGGCTCTGTTTGATTCCTTAAATGTTAAGAGATGTAAAATTCAGTTATTCAATTATTCATCGTCGGAATAAAGTCAACAGTCTGACCAACTTTTTTTTTTTTTTTTGGGATGTCCAGAACCGGGGTACCCAGACAAGATTGCCTACATCTCAATTAATCTTTCACGGCCCTAAAGTTAATGATTGAGTAATTTTCCAATGGTCATCTTTATTAATAATCGAGGAAAATCAAACTCAGGATCTCTTGAGTAATACACTCAATAGTCTCTATTTGACTACTCGACCACCCAATAGTTGGTTTAGTATGACCGCTTTTGTCATTCCTGCATGTGACATTTTTTAAATTTAGTTTAAATATAAAATACAAAAAAAAATCCAATTTAAACGATATTAAAAAATATAAAGTAAAACCTCTCTATAGTTATAATGTTAGAGACCAACTAAATTTATTACTATTAAGAGATTATAACTTAATAAAAGTTAGTTACAAAAATTATTGTTTTGATTAAAAAATTATTGTTTTGATTTCTTATTTTATAATTCATGTTTTAGTAGTATTATGATTTTAATTAATTGTTTTAGTAGCATTAGGATAGTATGTAAATAGATATCAAAGAGTCATTACAAAATTAAGTGATCAGATTTGAAGATTTCACTACACTAATCAAATGGTATTAGTATCTTCCTTAATCATCCAAATGAGCAACACGTTTGATATGTTTTAACTGAAGAAGAAATTTTTATTAGAATTAGATAAAAAGAGGAAGGAGATAATCATGAGGATGAATATAGTACATAAATACCAAAAGTTTCGTGCCAAGAAGTTTCAAACATGCTTGAGAGCTAGAAATATTTTGACTTCAATAAGAAGGTGTTTATGTTGGCGACTTATTACGTACCCGCAAGATAAAAGATATGGTAACAACTCTAAAGTATAAATCATTGTCTCAAACAACTTTAGATAAATATTTTATTTCATCTTAAATATTTAATGTAACATAGCATATTTTTTTTTATAATATACATATAATTATTACTATATAGAGGTAAGTTCTTTAAGACGAGACTTAGAAAAACTATAACTTATTACTAGGAGTGGGCAAAATTTTAGGATAAAACTGGAACCGACGGGTACCCAGGTGTCGGTTCCTACTCGGAACCAACCGTAATAAGGTAGGTTCTGGTTCCAAAAAATTGGAACCGATACTGTGCAGTTCCAGTTTCGATTCCAAATCAAAGGAACCGAAACTGGGAATAAGACTAAATTGATAAAATATTAAAGAATAGGGGTTTTTCTATTATTTTGCTTATGGGGGGTTTTGATATTTTGCATATCATATAAGTATATAAGAAAATTTTGGTATTTTTATCTTAGTATCAAAATTTTTATTAATTTTCATTAAAATATCGGTTTTTCAAAATATTCTTCTTAATATTTAAGTTTCACTTATTATTCAATTAAAAAATTAATATATATTAAAACATTTATGTTAAATAATAGCTTTTAAATATTTATTATCGGTGAAAACAAACAATTAAATACTTATAATCAAGCATCATACATCAAGCAAATATAAACAAATATATTATTTAATGTTTTGCACTTAATTGTTATGCGTGTAATTGTAATTTTATAAGGGTTTATTTGTCATTTTTTAGAAAATAGGGGGGTAATTAATATTTTTTAAGGTACCCAGAATCAGAATCGGAACTGGAACCTATAACATAAGTTCCAGTTCCAAGTTTTTAGGAACTGCAACTGTCCAAATCAAAGGAACCAACCGATTCTGGTTCCAGTTCCTTTGATTTTGGGCAGGTACACCATAACTTATTACAATGTGAAATTTATTCTTATTTATAAATGACCTAAAGTAGGACCAAAAATTTTTATGACTACATGGAGGTTATTCTTATATAGAGTATCACTGTAGAAAAGTTCAACCGTATATATGATTTGAACTATTCATTCATTTCAATAGAAACAAGAGTTGATAAATTAAAATATTAGAACATGAAAGTTTAATTAACATTTGCGGGAAATATAGAATATGATGGACCTCTTACAGAATTGACAAATACAAAAATAAAATGAAATATTGATGTATTTATTAGAATATAGAGGAGCTGGCAAGCACGAGGGTGTACTTGTATTGTATCAATAGATTGGAAAAAAAAATCAACGTTGATATCCAGTGTTTAAAAGTCTTTAAATAAAATTGTGTGGAAAAATCCAAGGAGTTGTAGTATATGTAACGTTTGCCTATCTTGCAAGCAAAATATGGCACAATACATAAATTAATATAATCAAACAAGCAAAGTCCCACCCCACATTTAAATTGACAGCAAGTCCTATTTTTGAACATAACCTTCTTCTTGATATGACAAAAACTTGATTTTGGTGGATGAAAATATTAGAAATTCAGAGTAAAATCAGAACACAATTGCAATTGAAGAAGAATTGAGCAATCGTATATGCAAGTTGGTGCACAATCTGTTTATTACTGACAGATGATTGATTTTTTTTTGTTGGGTAAAAGTCTTGAGTCTTCCCATATTCGAAAGTATGAGACTAATCTCAATTGAGGCTCAGGTAACTATCCTAGCCACAAATGTTTTCAGTGCGGTTTAAATCCTTGACATTATTAATAAAGTTTGCCTCACTTGAAACATAATTACCAGTCAGGCTACACCTCATGCTTGCAGCGTATGATTGCTATATAAACTTCATAAGAGTAATGGACCTAACTTTTTTAATCTTTAGTGAATAAACTGACAGTGACGGTTAGACCTTTTTGCTGTTGGCCCTTTTGGGTTAAAAGAACAGTCATTTTAGATTTTATTAGAGTTCGGCCGACACAATATGGGTTCAATTAGACAAATGGGATATAACCTCACCTAAAAGAAGATTATTTTTTACTTTTTAACAACTTAATTAGAATAATTATGGGTGATTGAAAAGGATGATTTTGACGGTTTTAATACACTTTTTTTTAATTTTTTACAATTTATGTAGAGACTAATGGAAAAGCATATTAGCGATTAGACAAATATCAATTTTATAAATATTACATTGGTTGACTGCTTGACTGCATCCAATTCTGATTTTTCAATTTCTTCTGGAAAGGGCAGCAGGCACATGTTTCAAACGAAGACTAGCAATTTATCTGACTTCCTTTTCAGGAATGGGATTATAAAAGTCTTAATAGCCCATAATTGTTGGGCTTAAATTAACTGTAAATTAAAATGAAGCTACAAGCCCAAGACCACTACAATGTACTATTTAATAATTACACCAGGTAAATAATTGCTTTTATTCTTTTAAAACGATCTCTTCACATCCAAAACCAAGCTTTGACAACTATATACAATCTATAAAATATTCGAAAATCGCAGCGTTTCCTACTCCACAACGAATTAGTACCACCTTCATTCATCGGGAGTAACTTATTTTATGCTTATTTATCACAGTTCCATATACTGTAATATGGTGGACTGGATTCTCCTAGCTTTAACTTAAGTTCGTATGAATATTAAATTTAAGCCCATATTCGTATTGGTACGCTTTTTCTTGTCTGTTTAATAGATTTTTCTTTATTGTATTATTTATCTTCACGTGGCAGATCCATTCCATGTTGGTACTCAAAACTGGCTTCTTCACAGCATACAAAAACAACAATCGGTGTAATTGTTGTACGATAAAACAAGAAAACACCAAACAAATTAATAGAAACACCATTGAATTTGAACTTGAACAAAGATGCGCGCAGTTTGTTGTATTACATGAACCTAATAATTGCACATACAATACGCCACCGTGGAGAAGAAAATACATCAAATATTTTTGCTACATAACAAAGTCAGAATGTAAATTACAAGCACGGTGAGCATACAAATACAAATGCTTCAACAGCATTAGTGGCTGGTTGAGTTCCAAAGTCCTAATTTCCATAACCTACACACCAAGGGCCAAGGGGAAAATGCAAAGCAAAAGCTACATTTAATTTCTCGGAGATTGAGAGAGCCTCGACCTCTTCAATCTCCATAACGTATTGAGTCAAAATAGCTAACTTCCTCGTGACTCATGTGCATACTTGAAGACGATGAACTAAAGTAGATGGTAATACCTAGGACAAAATTCCATTTCCCATGTTCCAAAGTCCTCATATAGTCAAAAGAAGGGCTTAAAAAAGGTAATGGGGTTAGCATCAAATAACCAAAACTAGATCAAATTCAATCCCCACTAACACCGAACCACAAACTATGCTGACTCCAGCCCAAAACTCCAAGCTGAAATAGACAAAATCCCAAACTTCACCAACACAGTTTCATAGGATTTCTCCAAACCTTTACTCTTTCTTCCTTCTCATTGTGCGAGCCCACCGTGCCGTTTCTTGCAACTTACTACCTTATATTTCGCCTATGTTTCTCGAAATCCTTTCTTCTTCTTCTTCTTCTTTTTTTTTTTTTCATTTACATTTCACATAACTAGGTTTAATTGACATGGGTTAACTGTTAGATTTGCAGTCTTTTGTTCCCATTTTGAGTTGTTGAGTATTACTACAGCTTGCTCCAAAGCCGTCAATGGTGGTTTCTCTTTTGGTTGGCAGTCCTTTTGGCTTTCTTGGTATGCATTTTGCACGTACTCCCTCTATCTCTTTCTCTTCCAATTGCAACTGCGAGCTTCTGCTGATTAATGCATTTGAAATAGCAAATTAATCAATTAACATAGCCATTAAAAAATTAACTACCCAATTAAACAGGTAAAAACAACTGGCAAAATGACATAAAAGAAGTCAACTCAATGCAATAAAGAAATAATATATTATAACTCATCAAGTAACATAAAGCTCAAAAGTTTCAGGCTAGCCAGAATTTGTTATTAATATGCTGGTAAGGTCCCCCCACACTAGTACAACTCTCTTCCATAGATTTATAGAATTAAATTCTCAACTGCAATATTTCAGTACTTCTCTGGACAACCACATGGCATGCAGCTAAGATGACTGGGGAACGTTTAGATATGAATCATTTAATATTGGACGGCCAGCAATTAGTATGATATGATCTGATTAGGACCAATTTACCATCATTTCCCTCCCTGAGAGTAAATGAAGACCCATATGAGGCCAAATGGGCTAGTAGAGAATCATAAATTTTTCTGACTCAGAATCCCTGGAAAGGTAGTACAACTGTACAAGAAAGGAACATATGCATCCCTTTCTACGCCAACAAAATAATGCACTTTCCAAAGTGAAACTTCAATTTAACCTTTACTCCAACTGTTTATCAGTACTTTTCAATCACAAATATTGTTTGGTTGGATATCATTATGGGATTGTGATTATCAATCTAACATTTCTAATCTTAAATTAGCAATGTTAGTATAGTCATCTCATTTGTAGTTTGGTGAATTGTACCTTCCTGAATGGAATCAAATCACCAAATGGGCCCTAAACAAATATCATGACTTGCCATATAAATTTAAATCACTGTAGGTCCAAACTGTACCTGAGTCTCGTTGAGTCGCTGTAGATAGAACGATAGATAAAGAATTGCATGACAGTAGAAACAAGACCAATAAAACAAAAGAAAAGAGTCACTCACCGATCTGCGTTGTAAGAATTAGATCTTTTCAAAGCTGGAGGGACGTCCTCTTTCTTGTTAGTCTCGATCAAGCTCCCACTAAAGTACTCTTTATCTTCCAATCTTACCCTCGGAAAATTGCATATTTCCTTCTCTGTTCCCGTCTCCTTTTTATCCCCTGTTCCACGTGGTAGCCTTCCCTTGTAATGCCCAATCAATGAGAACCCCTCATCTTTTACATGGCTGGGTCCACAGTCCTTAAAAGAGATCGCACCACAGGATATCAACTGCATCAGAACCGTTGATGCCTTCATTCTTCCACTTGGATAATTATCCCCCGTTCGGTTCAAGTTATCGTCATTGCTGTTACCGGAACACAATATCAGCCGCCCATCAGCTTTCATCAAAGACTCTAAGGTTTCGGGACTTGAATCGGACGGCGGAGGTGAAATTTCTTCCCTGCTGAGCTCCGTGCTTTGGTTCTCATACGATTCTTGACTTTGACTTTGACTTTTGTCCTCCACTTCAACTTCGACTGGTCGTCTTCGCCGTCTTTTATCATCCGTCTGAGTCGACGCGTCAGCAGCGAGTCTCCGGAACGACTCGGAGTTCGGCTCAGTCTTATAAACTTTATACTCATTTAAATCAATAGAACTCCAAGATTGGTTTCTCCTACGATTAATCGCGGGAAAATCTGACGACTCGTCTGCTGACTTCAGCGCTCGAAACGAGGACGACGATGCTGTTTCGGGAGGGTTGGAGTGTATTGAAGAAGGATCGAGAAGCTCTGATCCTTTGAGAACGTATTCTTGACCGTGAGCCGGGTAAATAAAGTCGTTCTCTGACAAGTCGTGCCAGACGAAGCCGTTTTTGTAGCTCCTGAATCAGACGGTGGAATGTGATTTATTTGAAATGTGAATGGTAATTAGATCAGACGGTGAGGGAGGTAGTGAGCATTTACCGTTTGCAGGACCAGGAGTACAATCTAGCCATGCCTTTGCCTCGGAGGACGTTTAAGCGGTTGATTACATCTGAGGAAAGATAAAAAGATTCTGTAAAACTCACATAATGTTGTGTTTGGTTTCCGAGAAAAGGTTAGAGAAAGTAAATTAAATTGAAAATTTGGCAGTGAAATTATATCCTTTTGATGTTGGAGAACACAAAAGTCTGCAATGAGTTAAATTTTTATTGCAACTAGTATCTATAAATATAACGTAATATATCACGAGAGTTAAAGTTCACTTTTCTTTTACTTTCCTTAAGTTTCTCAGTGACCAAGCAGAGGATAAAAGTTTAGCGTCATACCGAGAAAAATGCTAAAGCAGCTAGCGGAAAGAAAAGTTACTAAATTTGAATTTGAAACTTTTCATTGTTTACTTTAATTGCAAAACAACAAAAAGCTCTTTTCAGCAAAGTTTAAGCTTAATCAACCAGTTGGCATTAATGTTGATAAACAAACAAAAATGCTATACGTAAATCAAGATTCTTATTTTCACATAATTTCTTGCGTTTTCTCAGCAACCAAACAGTAACAGAGAGAGTAAAAAAAAAAAAAAAGAGAAATGGAAAAGTAGTAATATAAGTAATTAGTTTACCTCTGAGATAGAGACCTTCAGGAGAGGAGAGAGGAACGTCCATGAAATGAGGGTGCTCAAGCTGGCCGTTTCTAGACAGATAGTAAATAACAGGGACTTTTCTCTCGCTACTGCTACCAGTGGCTTTGTTCTTGTTAGGTTCAGTCCAGACTTTGGTTCTCTCAGGACTGGTCTGCTGATCTCTCCCTTTCCATTTTCTTGAAACAAGAACCTCTGTCGTTTTTGATCCTCTTGAACTAACCTCCATTTCTCCCTACGAAACCGGTGATTAAGTTGGTGTGGCAGCGAAAACTAACAGAGAGAGTGAAGGAGAAAGAGAAAGAGAAAGAGAGGGAGAAGGAAGAGAAGAGTTTGGAATATTATATAGGAAGAGAAAGGGAAGGTGAATGTGAATGGAAATTTGTTGGGGTTGTGGAGGGAGTATGGAGAGAAGGATTCAAAATTGGGATGCACAGACAACAACTACCCAACAAAAGAGACTTGTTTCTAGTCTCAGTACATGGCAGTCCTATGATTGTTTTATTTCCATTATTTACTGCCTCATTCAGATAATAAGATGTATATCATCGGCCTTCTCCAACCTCTATTTGGACGTTTGATTCAGAAATATTAGATTACTGAAAAGATAGATTATTGGAAATTTTTAAAAAAATATGTTTGGTTAGTTGATGGGTATGTTATATTAATATGTTTGGTTATGAGAATAAATTGGTGGATATGTTATTTAAATTACTAAATTAACCCTCTTTTAAATATTAATATAATATTATTTTTATTATTAATTTTTGAATATTTTTTAACCTCCAATATTTCATTAAGATCTATATCATCGGCCTTCTCTAACCTCTCTTTGGGTTTTCTTTTGGTGTCATTAAACTTAAATGATTTTGTCAATCTTCCCATATATATATATATATATATATAGGATTAGGCTGACTCTAACGTGGGCTGGATACGTCACTTACCTAAGAAAAAAAGTGTTCTCTTATTAATTATAATATCAGATCTTCCCATATATATATACACTTTTCTTTCAGATCGCTTACGATTATGGATTCTCAAAACCCTTATATANTAACAACCTATCAGAAGGTGAAATGATGATGGGACAACCTGTGCTTATCAGAAAACCGTTGGATCAAATTTGATTAAAACCATGTTAACGGTCCAGATCAAATGGCAACATTTTAATACGGTAAAACGTGATCTGCAAGTAGATGTAACCAAATCTTTTGGGCGGGTGTCCTTTTCCCTAATCATCAAATCGAGTGAAAGAGGGTCCAGTTATCGAGCAGATTGTCCTGTAAACTTCCAAATAGTAACTGAAAAATATGAGTAAATGGTAGTTTTTTAGTACATGGAATTGGTCGGTAGTCTAAGTTATCGGCAAATTAGTCCAAGGCATGTTGGACTTATATGGAGGAATGCCCAAAATTCCATGTGCAAGTGTACATGCATTGACTAACAAGGGCACGAGATGAGGCAGTTGGCCCAATTAAGAGCAATTGTTTTCTGGGCGATGATGTTGATGCACCGCCAATCTACAAGATTAATTTCAGAGAATGGGTTGATATTACTCCCGTCCTTATGTTTTCTTTCAACGACATAAATATTGGTGCATTTTAAAATTTTGAACTAAAATGAAAGGGTCAATGTATTAGCCCTGAAATCCTGGAAGCAATTCAAAAACGAGAGATGGAGGGGGCAGGGAAGACAGGCGGCGTTAGATTATAAACCTCAAAACCTGCAGGTTGACTCAAGTATGGAGCCTCTTGGAAAATTAAATGCAAGATGGACCACGGAATGAAACGCACACTTAAATCATCTTTCACACCTTTTCTCTCGTTCACACTCACCACATTGTTAATTTATATGCTGCAAAACAAGTGTTGGTTTGGGTCTCCAGACTCCAGCTAAGTAGTAGGTCCTTTTTTTTTTTTTTTTATCATAATAAATTAAATAAATAATCTAACCTTTCTTGACTATGATTTTGACATGTGCTTTTTTGTGTTTTTGTTTAATAAATGAGCAATGTTATAATTACAATTGAGTTATACAATCAAACAAAAGACAAATAACATAGTAATCATTTTACATAAATTTTGTGTAATTTTTATTTAGTTGTATGGCTTAGTTGTAAACAAAATATTATTACTTATAAATAAATTATTATTTCTGTTATTAGTTGCGAGTCAATCTGAGTACTTGATAATTCAAATTACCACAAGAGTTCCAGAAATTTTTGGGTTGATGCATGAAGTCAAAGTGATTCAATGGGCTTTAATGCTGAAAGCCCAAGTCTTGTATGTTAAACTTATTGTAATAATGAAAGCAGGAGACCCACATTTTGGAGGCCCAATCCAACCCACTAGAAAGAAGGAGCCTTTCAAGTCGTGGTGCTATTAATCCTATTTGAGTGCCAACCATAGAAGAAAAGCCTTTCTAGTGGTGGTGCTATTTGACCGCACTTCGATTTTATCCTTCTCATCACCTCTAACTTTCACCTTAGGGTGTATTTGATTAAGGGAATGTTGGATTACTAGAATCTTATATTACCTTGAAGCTTATTGAGAATCTTTAGGAAAATATGTTAGGTTAGTTAGTGGGTATGTTATATTAATATGTTTAGTTAGAGGGAATAAATTGGTGGGTATGTTATTTAAATTACTAAATTGCCCTCTTTTTAAATATTAATATAATATTATTTTTATTATTAATTTTTGAATAATTCCTTTTAACCCCCAATATTTTAGATTTAGCTAAAACACCCCCGCTTATATAAAACTTTAATTTATGATAAAATCACCCCCACTTCAAACCACCGCTGGAAGTCTCTGAAAGTCACCGTGACCACGAAGCCCCAATATGGCCGTTTCTGGCCATATTGATGGCCAAAAAAGGCCATAATAGGTCAAATCTGGCAATTTTCAGCCATCAATACGGTTAAAAGCAGCCATACTGAAGCCTCTCGGAGCCTTCCAGCGAATCTCGATCATTTTTAGGGACTCTAGCGACTTTCTGACGGCGATGGCAGCTGGGTGATGGTTGTGGTATATAATTTGTTTTAAATATAAGGGCATTTTTATCCAAAAACTTAATTAAATAAGGGTAAAATTGAAATGGTATATTAATGTAAATTTATTTTAAAATAGGGGCATTATTGTCTAAATTTTTTTATTAATAAAAGATAGAATTGTAACAAAAATAAGATTACCTTGGTAATCTTACAATACCTAAGAAAATGGAGGTAATCATATTACTTCCAATATTACAAACAGTAACAACTATTAGTAATGCAAGATTACCAGAATCTTATATTACTTGACAATCAAATATAGTAATTAAGTAATATAAGATGACATAACCCTAGTAATTTTCAATTACCTCTAACCAAACACCCCCTTAAAGTAATCCTAGGTTCACAACCTAATCTTATAATTTTATCTCACAATCCCCGATATGGTAATTCACAATTGGACAAGCGGGACTCATAGTAAGCAAGCAAGACTCAATTGTAAGTTATCACGTTGGAGGTTGTGAGATTGAATTATGGACCTAGCATTATGGTTCTTCTTATTAAGTCATAACATAGTGGAGTATTTTTTTTTTTTTTTTTAAGAGCACTTAAAAGATAACTATCTTAATGGTGTCTTTAATATGAAAAAAATTATTTGAAGTGTTTTTTAATAAATAAGTAGTAAAAATACCTTCCCATAAAAAATAATCCATTAATTTCTGATGATATTTACTCTTTTTTTTTTTTTTTTTTTTTTTACTCATTTAACATTGTGGAGAAATTGTTTTCTTTCATAAACTAATTAAGTTTTTATTATATGTTAAATCTGTCTCATTTCATCTCATAGCTATAAATGGAGCTTTACGTGGAGGCCCTCCATCTGTTCAATCCTCTTTTATTTTTAATGCTTAAATTGCTTATACGATAAGAAAAGAGTAATACTACATTTACAAAGAAATTTTATAAAGATCTTCATACAAAGTGATGTGACAAAAAATGAATGGAATAATAAATTTAATAAGTTTGACTTTTTGTTTCACTTTTCTATTCATTTTTTGCTATATCACTTTGTATGAAAATCTTTGTAAGTATAGTATTATTGATAAGAAAACTAAGAGCAATCTGGAGAAAGATTATAGGATAAAAATGTTTGGTGTCATTCACAAGAGAATAAACTAAGTTGGATTTGCTTGGTGGTGAGGTCTTCCCTCAACTAGTCTTGTCCACGTCTGACGTCGCTATATATTATATTTATTAAATTCACTTTTTAACTCTTGATTAATAAAAATAAATTTTTATTAATTAACATAGTTTAATAAAAATATAATTTATGTATACATACAGATACAAGTGAATTTTAATTCTGTATTTTAAATCCGCACATGATATTTTTTTTAATGATATAAATAGAGATTATAATAAGAGAATAAAGTTTTTTTTTTTTTTTTAAAAGAAAAATCAATGGGTTTATACTTTATACAAATATATATACAAATACTACTTCTAAAAGTACAATCTCAGTATTCTAAAAATATAAAATTTTAAATATCTATTGATTTTAAAATCTCAGTCATATAAGTGTCTTTCCTTATCAGTCCAACGAAGTTTAAGCATGGATGTCAGTTCTATATCATTGAAAATGAAACGTATGCAGAAACTTTAATTATTGGAATACAAAAGCAGCGATGCTGTAATAATAAAAATATGAAAGAGGAAAATATTTAAAAGAAGGTGCGGTTTGATGGACATTGGAATGGTTCCATGTCGTCCACTGTAGCAATGGACGCGTCACTCACCGTCGTCTTCTCCCCTCAAATCATCTATCTGTTCTTTCATGGCCTTTCATCCTCATCCTAATCTTAATCTTGTAATTAATGGAAGCTAGCTGCAAATTGGTGAGTGATGAAGATGACGATGATGATGGTAGCGTTGGGGCCTTAAGATAGCAGGCAACGCCAATGAGAAAGAAGATAGATTCCAATTTCGATATTGCCTTTGTAAGGCTTATCTCAATCTCAAATGGATTGTTGGCCATTATTTCTTTAATTTTTCCTGACAAGACATTGCGTTCCTTCCCTAAATAATTAACAATATCATTTATTCAGATGGAATCCTTATTATGATCAGAACTTCTGGAAGGCAAATATATTTTACATGAAACACATGCATATGCATGCAGATGGGGATGTTAACTTTCGTTTGATTTCAGTATTCCAGGTTCATTTATCTAGTTTAAGGCACATCCTTCCTCCTCAAAATTTTTATTAATTTCTGGCGATAAGTGTTGTTTAGCAGGACCTTATCTTATCCTTTGTTTTCTTTTTTTTGTGAATGAACTGGATGCTGATAACAATATGGGCATGAAAGGACCGCAAATTGGGAGGGTATCATATATGATAAGAACGTTAACATAGAATCCTGACATTCAACTAGAATAATAAGTATCTTCTCAATGTGCAGAAAATGGTAATCCCACTAGCACAAACTGTCACTGATGAAGACTTTAAT